GTCCAATTTTTATTTCTTTATAACTTTTTAAATTTTTTCTCAAAGTCTCTGAAAATTTGAGAAAAAATGTAAACATATATGATTATCATGTGGTAAAAATTACAAATTATTGTTATGTTTTATTGCTAAGTTACATTGGTTTGAAAAGGATGTTTTTTTCGAGTGCACGGATATCTGTTAAGGGTGAGCCCTTAACATCAAGTGTCATCCACTACAAGTTCAAAAAAATATATTTGAATGGATGAATAGAATTTTTTATTAACGATTGAAAATTTGAACGACACACACACACACACACACACACACACACACACACACACACACACACACACACACACACACACACACACACACACACACACACACACACACACACACACACACACACACACACACACACACACACACACACACACACACACACACACACACACACACACACACACACACACACACACACACACACAGTGTGTGTGTGTGTACACATATAAATAAATATATATATAGGGAAAGAGTGAACTAGTAGTAGGAACTGAGTAAAACTCATAATAAGTTGAATAAATATGTTGTGAATTTTAAATAGAGTTATTTTGAAAGATAAAAAAAATGAGTCCCGATAGCATAGCGTGAGTGAGTGAATGTTAACGTCGCACTGTGTGTTCAGCTACACGATGGCTTTTGGCGACGAACCTTGTCATTTTGAACCATAGTCAAGTGACGAGGACGACACCTGATCCGGCACCTCCCTCTCCTCCTAACTACCATGCCACACCAACGGGAGGAAGTTTGAGCTGCCGACAGATTTAACAGGCATCGCTCCCCTACATGGCGGGTCTTAAGTGGTGCAGGTCTCGAACTCGTGACATGGCAGCCACGATCCGATACCCTGACCACTAGGCTACCGCGGCCAACCGATAGAGTAGCGTAGTTTAAGGAAAATAGAATGTTAGTGCGGAATGTGTTGGTCTATTGTCTATTAATGTCTACTCTTTATACACATCATGTGATTGCAAAATTCGAGGTGATACCAAAATAGAAATGGTTTTCTTTCTTATCAGTGGCTCACTGTGGATGGATTCTTAACAAAGGCATTTCAAAAATGATTTTTGCGAAAGTTGCTTTAGGAAAATTATCAAATGTGTTTAATATTACCTAAGACATAGGTGTGTGTGTTTAAATTCAAAATTCATTGGGGGAAATTAAGTTTTCAATTTAAGGATAGCCTTCCAATTTAGAAAAAAACAAAATAGTGGAAAAAAATGATTTTTTTGTATATTTGCATTTTTATTAAAAGTTTTTACTTTTTCTCTTATACATGTATATGAGTTTATATTGACAACGTTAAGTATTAGTCAAAATAGGAGAAAGTCTCTTGAGCAAGGGTATGCAACCTTTTTTTTCTGATGGGCCGCATACATATGTTAACTATTTAACGCGGGTCGCAAATGAGGATAAAGGAGGAGGGGGTAAGAAGAAATGCTTTAAGACCAAGGTAACATTAGAAATTCAAACTGGGGAAAATTGATCAAAAAATTATAACTCCTGTTTTGCTTTATTAAATTATTTTTATGTTGTTTTATTTTTGTCACTACTACTGAATTAGAAGCATTTATAGCAAACTTCGTAGGATGTCTTTGGTACCACTGACAAAGCCCTTTGTTGCTCTCTGTTGCAAAGATTATTCGAGAAAGCCAATTTATCACCTCTTGAAAGAGATCTTCGAGGAAAAATGTCATTAAATGATTCTTGTTTAATGGTATTTTTTAAACAAAGCACTTTCGTGACAAATCAAATAATTACTGACCCATATTTGTATTTCAGTGCAAAATAGTCAACCTCCTAATCATCTTGAAACGATATATTTTCTTCCAATATTTTTCGCTTGCAAGGTATGAAAGATAGTTAAAAATTAGTTCCACCCATAAAATTGTCGCTACTCTACGCTGTTGTCTTTTAACACTAACCGTAATCCTTACAAATAGAAAACGAGTATCAATTCTCCCCCCTTCGACATCGACAGCAAAATTGATATATTTGATTTCTTTGCAAAGAATTCCCCACCAAATTTGTAATTATTGCTGCTTTAGAGGGCGACATATTAAGTTTGTGCACGCGGCTGACCGACACACCTGGATCGGTTGTGGACAGTGATGGACGAATCACTCGCCTGATGTTTCTGTCCAACTTGCCCCTGATTCTAAGACAACAGTATTGAAATTTTCCCTCCATCCACACACAAAATGTTTCAATATTTAAAAAACTCTTTTGATGTCATATGCAATTTTTTTCATTATGCAAGATGCAGTGTTTAGAAAATTTATATAAAAACAGTTTCCATTGGCAAAAAAAAAAAAAAAAAAAAAAAAAAAGGCAAACCATCGCATTATCACAAGACTCCTCATGCAGCACGTCACATCTGTTGAAGCTCAATTTGATTTGATTTGAATTTATGTTGCACTGGGAAAGCAACCTGAGGGGGCTACTGGCAACGAACTTCGTAATTTTGAGCCATAGTCAAGTGAGGCAGATGACACCTAAACTGGCACCCCCTTTCCGAATATGCGCACCATATTAAGGCTGTTTTCGCCATATGTACGACAATGTGGACTTAACGCGGAGCACATTTTTTCGGACAGAAAAAATGCCTCAATTTTTATAAAAATTTGAGACATTATAACATGCATTTTTTATAATACAGAGTGTCCCATAACGACCGCGTAAACTCTGCACAGCTAGATTCCTCGTTGGGAGTACATAAAAACTGCCCAAAGAAGCGTTCCTGTATGATCCATAGTTTACGAGAAAAATACGAAAAACAAAGTATGATGTTTCTGCCGGTGCAAGAAAAAACACTTTATTGAATATATCAACAGCAGTATATGTACAGTTTAGGCAGATGTTCAAAGTGTCCGTCGTGCATGTCGAGGCTGAGGTGTTCGAGTGAGCTGAAATTTTGTATACACGCGACGCGTTTAGTTTGGATGACAATGCATGTTTTGATTATTTATATTCCAAGATCGGAATTAGTTAAAAAAGATTCTAATTAAAACAATTTGTTCGGGTGGAATCTTGCAACTCAATTTTGAAGCTGATGTCTTCAATCGATTGAGCTGAAATTTTGTATACACGTTTAGTTTGGATGACAATGCATGTTTTGATTATTTATATTCCGATATCACAATTAGGTTAAAAGATATTAATTAAAGATATTTGCAATTTTGAAGAGAGAGCTGATGTCTTCAACTTGCTACACGTTTAGTGGAATGCATATGTTTTGATTATTTATATTCCAACTAATTAAAATAATTTGCTCAATCTTTGAAGCTGATGTCTTCAACCGATTGAGCTGAAATTTTGTATACACGTTTACCACGGCCCACTGCTACAAAATACGAGGTATCTTACCAAAAACCATATTACCCTCTCATAATAATTAATAAGAAAAAAGAGAATAAATAGTTGAAAGTTCCATAAAATTTAAAAGATTCTATCAAAATTATTAACAACTCAGAGCCGTTCTAAGAGAAAGCTTCTTACCTGTAGTTGAGGACATACTACCAGTGAGAGAGCGAGAAATAATTCAATTGGCAAATATGGAACATATTTAATGAGGCATCATCTCGGAGGGAGGTGGTAGAAATCTGTGCTCTTCTCTAATTCGTCCTTTTTTTTATATACTGTATCCCGGTAAAGGGGCTCTGCTTTGAACGAAATTTCTTTTACAGTATATAGCGGTACCTCCTGCAGTACGAATTCTAGGAAAAATTACACTACTATCTTTATAAAGATGATAATTGCAATCAGGGGGTCTTGACCAGGTTCTGGTTTGGTTTCTTGGACCAAAAACAAATCAAGATTTTGCTCCAAAACGAAATCTCTGACTTCATGAATTTTGGAGCGCAGACCGTTTGCGTTCCAAAAACCAATTGAGATTGATTGCACGTTTGCACGATTGAAAGTTAGGCCGAATTGTGGACAACATAATTACGCCCATTTTTTACCGCGAAATAGGCCTAACAAATTTCACAAGCCGTATCGTCAGGATGAGAAAGTTTTCGAAATGCTGCTCGGAAAGCCCGGGCGAACAGTTCCTCATCGACTTCTTCATCATTAGCTATCTGAATTACATTTGTGAAAATGGTTGAAAAATTGGAATTTGGGGTATTAACATGACTATAATCTCCCTGATCTGTCCAAAAACATCTTTAGAATACCAGGTGGAGGGAATGACAGCGCGGTAGTTTGGTTGAGGCTGCTGGATCTTGGATTGAGCATGCATGGGACTACTTTTTAAGTTTAGATCATGACGAGAGCCTAAATTTCTCACTTGAATTTTTTATTTTGGCAAGATATAAGGGTTATTTCCCTTAGGATGTTGATTTTTATTTTGATTGCCCTTTTGGGACGCTTTTTTTTATTATATTTAGTCTTCGGAAAACGGGGGCATTGGAGCCAATTCGCCGCATGTTCCAAAACGCAGTTGGCACAAATTAATGGGTCTTCAAATGCACGATTACAGTTTTTAGCCTCGTGAGGCCCTGCGCATTTAAAGCATTTAATTGGAAGATGGCAGACTTCCGAAGAATGGAAAAAATCCTGGCATCTCCAGCATTGATTGGGTCTTTTGTTGTGACTATTGTCATAGCGCTCAAAGGAAATTTATGTGCCAAACATTTCAGTAAACTGAAAGATACTGTCAGCTTTGGCATCATTTACAAGTTGTAGGTAAATTAGGGGCACGGGGGTTTTGGTTTTAAATTTTTGTGATCGGGAGATTTTATGGATCTGAAATCCTTCTCTCTCGATTTCAACACGTATTTCTTCTACTTTAGTGGAAGTAGGAAGACCATAGATTAATAATTTAAGGGGCCTATCAGATGTATACACGTTTAGTTTGAATGACAATGCATGTTTTGACGATTTATATTCCGATATAGACCTAGTTACTGTCTTCTTGAGGTGTTAAGGCAAGCATGTTTACAATAACATAGGTAGCAACCGAAAGCGTAGCTCATAGTAGAGCGCTCGCTTATCATGCGAGAGGTTCGGGGATCGACACCCCGCGCATCCAATTGTTATTTTTTCGTGTAAAATATTTTTGAAATTCGTTTAATTTGTACAACGAGAAATTTTACAATGCTTCCACTCTGCGTACGTACAAAGAATGTTATATTTTTACTGTTCTACAGGGAACACTAAGAACGAAAGATATATCAAACTATTTCTAAATACTTTGAAACATTCTAAGATATCTATTTACTCGATGCTAGTTTCTCCCGTAACACTTTTAATTGACCTAGTTACTGTAACAATCTTGTTCAGGTGTTCAGGCAAGCATGTTTACAATAACACAGGTGTCGACCAGGAGCGTAGCTCAGATGGTAGAGTGCTCGCTTTGCTGGTAATAGGTACGGGGATTGAAACGTTGCGCCTCCAATTATAATTGTTTCGTTTCGTGTAAAATATTTGATTTGTACACCGAGATATTTTACAATACTTCCCCTCTGTACATGTACTAAGTATGTTTTATTTTACAAGCTTTTATTTAACTTGCAATCTAAATTGTTCGGGTGGAATCTTGCAACTCAATTTTGAAGCGGATGTCTTAAACCGATTGAGCTGAAATTTTGTATACGCGTTTAGTTTGGATGACAATGCATGTTTTGACCATTAATATTCCGCTATCGTATTTAGTTAGAAAGACTAGCTGCATGGCCCGGCGTTGCACGGGCTTTCTCTACTTTTATAAATTTTCCCTTTCCTTCACAAAATCAGCACTTCTCTAATACTCTTTTTCAAAATGAATTCCACCCCTCCTCCACTTAGCCCGATGTTGCTCGGGCTTTTACCGAGTGTATAACTTAAAATTCCCTGTTTCGATATTTTCCCGCTTCTTTTCTTTGTCCGACAGGTTTACTTCCCCCGGCGTTCTACGAACATTTTAAAATGCATAACATATTGTCATGGAAATTCCCCCGTCGCTATCAGAGCTCTCGAGTAAGTGACCATTCACCAATTCTTAAACAGCTTGACAGGTGCAGCCCTCTAGTAGCACAAAAAGTAATAAATTATTGCAGAAAAAAAATTCGTTAAAAGTTTTCGAAATATTATTTTTTTAAATCACTAACTGTAAAAATCAAAGTATGAGTTTTTTAAAAATCATTTTTATATAAAAACATCGATATTTATTCATTTTAGAAAAAGTCATATGTAAAATATCGTTGTTTTCTAAAAAAAAAAAAAAAAAAAAAAAACTGTTTTGTGACGAAATAAATTTTTTTTCAAATTACAAAATTTCTGACGAAGTTTTTAAATGCGCGAATAAAATTTTGAGTATTTTTTAAAACAATCATAAATCTAAGTGGTGGTGCTGTTTCGAACCCGGGTACAAAAGTAAATAATCCAGCTCTCTAACCTTTCAATCCACAAAATCATCGGGAAAAAAGAAAAAAGACCTGTAAAATAAAAGTAACAGATATTCAATTTCGCATTGCGTTATTTGTTAAATTTTAAATTTGGGGAGGGGGCTTCATTAATAAGTTAATGCCTTCAAACTTCATATATTGATTGTAAACAACGTAATTTTTAAACAAAAAATTTAACAAAAATAATAGTTAAATATTTCTGGCAAAAAAGGGACCCCGAAAAACTCAGTTTTTTAAAACCGTAATTTTTAAGCAATCTTTTCAATCTTTATGCAGATTACGTATAATATCGTTCTACACACGGAAAAAAAATTCATGAGATTATTTTTTAAATAAAGAAAAAAGTATTTAAAATATATATATAAAATTTTAAGTATTTTTTAAAAATCGTAAAAAAAAAATTGTCATTTTATTTTTTAAATGACTGATTCTAAAAGAGAAAAGCATGGATTTTATTAGTGTAGAATATCTATTCATTAAATTGAAAGAAAATTCAATCGTAACGACTTAGAAATCATTTTCATAAAAACGTATCGATTTTGGCTCATTTTAGAAAAAAATCATAAGAAATAGAAAATATCATTATTTTGTAAAATAAACTATACCGTATTGTGGCGAAGTAAATGATCTTTCCGATTCTGTAAATTTTTTTTGTCTCATTAAAAAATTAGATCGTTTGTTAAAAACGTCTGAGATAAAAAAAAAAAAGGTCGGTAAATTGGAAGTTCGCCAGCTGGCGGGAAAAGAATGGCAATAATTATGCGTTTTAAGGTTTTTAATTAATATCTCTTTAACTGATTGCACTATTGGAATGTAAGTGATCAAAAGGATTCCTCGGATCTTTTCCGATCTTTTGGTACCTTTGGGTTCGTGAGAAGATACACCTAGTCGTATAGTCGCATACGTTTGTTTACCATCGAATTTTAGTAGTGTGGATATTAATTAAAGTAATTTTTTCGGGTGGAATCTTGCAACTCAATTTTGAAGCTGGTGTCTTCAACCGATTATTCTAAAATTTTGTATATATGCTTAGTTTATATGACAATGCATGTTTTGATGATTTATATTCCGATATCGCAATTAATTAAAAAGATATTAATTGAAAACCTTTTACTCCTGTTAGCTTTTTATTCTGCCCAGCAACTTATCAGATTGAGCTTAAAAAAGTTCCGATTTTTCGACCTTTTTTAAAAAACCATCTTATTCTTTCTCTCAAACAGACAAAAATAATAATCTAATGGGAAAGATAAGTTATTTCGCCACGATACGGTATAATTTGTTTAAAAAAATGATATTTCTATTTTTTACAATTTTTTCTAAAATGAGTCAAAATCGATGCGTTTTCATGAAAATTATTTCTCAATCGTTCAGTAAGATTTTTTTTCGTGTTAATGAATCGATATTCTGCACTAAGAAAGTTCAGGCTTTTTTCTTTTAGAATCAGTCATTTAAAAAATAAAATGCCTAAAAAAATTTTTTTACGATTTTTCAAAAAATACTCAAATTTTGAATAAAAGATTTAAAAACTTCGTCATTTTTTAAAAATATAATTGCTCAAAAATAGTTTATCGCCTGTAGAATAGTATTATCCAAATTTTGCGCAAAAATTGAAAAAATTGGTTTAAAATTACGAATTAAAAAAAAATTGTGTTTTTCATTTTTAATATAGCATGATAGTAAAAGCAAAAAGAAAAAAACCAAACAGAAAAAACACACTAAGTTTTAATATTTTAACTAATTTTTCTTCGTCTAATGTTGTTTTGATCTAACAGTGTTTATCCCCCTTCCCATTATCCATTTGTTGCTGCCCGAGTGAAATATCTATCTTATGTATGAGGCCTGACGGGAAAAAAAAGTTCAGTAACCTTTAGCTGGACTGTTCAAAATTAACCGGCAAACGACCTTTCAACATTGATGCGTTGAATGAGATTAACAGACTGAGAAACCTCTGTCCAGCGATAACTAAAAAGTAAAAAATAAATTAAAAGTAAAATTTTTTTTAAAAAAAACAATCTTTTATTTAAATGCTCTAAAAGGAATAAAACAAAATACTCTTTTAAAACTTTTTTTGCTATCAAATTATAAAGTCGTTACAAAATTTATGATATAAAAGCTTGTCGCGAGATTTACATGTATAGATAAGCAAATTAAATAACTTGATCTGATTGATTTTAATTTTTAAAATTTTCAACCTAAGTAAATACGGGTACTTTAATCTCGCGACAAGCTTTTACATCAGACATTGTATAACTTTATAAGTTGATAGCAAAAAAAGTTTTAAAAGGAAATTTTATTTTATTCCTTTTAGAACATTTAAATAAAAGCTTGTTTTTAAAAACGTTTTTTTACTTTTAATTCATTATTCGTATTTTTCTCGTAGACTATGGATCATACAGGAACACTTCTTTGGGCAGTTTTTATGTACTCCCAACGAGGAATCTAGCTGTGCAGAGTTTATGCAGCCGTTTTGGGACACCCTGTATAGTGTTTTTAAAATTTCAAAATATTTCATAAATAATCCGTTTTTCCTTTTAAGGTATCCGACTATGTTTGGAACCGTGATTTTGCAAAAGCGCATAAATGGATAATTTGCATAATATTTAGTATCTTTTAGATTAGAATATATGCATAAAATTGTTTTAAGGACATTTTGACAAAAAAAATTTATTTAAATACAATATTTTGGCAAAAAATTAACTTAGAATAATCTTTTTTCCAAATGTTCTCCTTTTGTGAAAAATGCTTCTACTAAAATAATATTTTGCCTGTATATAGATCAGACCTCTGTACAGAGGCTCAACTAAAATTTTTGAAATATATAACTTAGAAGTGGGTTTATATGCATGTTTTACGACAACAGAGGGGAGCAATTTTAAGAAAAGAACGTCAATAATTATTTCAATTGGTGGTAACTCTGAAAATAATGTGAATTTTTCAAAAATTCTAGTGGAGCCTCTGTAGAGAGGTCTGAGCTATATACGAACAAAATATTACTATAATTGATCCTTTTTTCACAAAAGGAGAACATTTGGAGAAAGATTATTCTAAGTTAATTTTTTGCCAAAATATTATATTTAAACAAATTTTTTTTGTCAAAATGTCCTTAAAACAATTTTATGCGTATATTCTAATCTAAATGACACTAAATATGAAGAAAATTATGCACTTTTTTAAAATCACTGTTCCGAACGTTGTCGGATACCTTAACATGCAAAAGAATAGCTCATTTAGCATTACGGTATAGAAGAAAAAAAATTCGAAACACATTTTATAAAAGAAAAAAATGGGTCAACTCGGATAAAAATGAGTAGTATGATAAAAAAAGTGATTCTCTACGGGATAGTGAAGCCAGAATATAATATTAAAGTTTGAGTACTTTTATATCTGAAAAAATATTCCGAATTTGGGTACTATTCTTTAACAGTAGCCGAAGACAGCCTTAACGGGAGTACTTTGTTTGATTGACTGAATATTGACGTCACACTGCTCAGCTACACGAGGGCTTTTGGCGACGGACCACGTAATTTTGAACCATGGTCAAGTGACGTGGACGACACCTGAGCTGGCACCCCCTCTCCTAACTACCACACCACACCAACGGGAAGACATTTCAGCTCTCGACAGATTTAATGTGCATCAGGACAAC